TATCCTTATTTAAAAAAATTAAAAATTCATATCTTTATTTAAAAATTAACAAAATTAATATTCTTAAATAAAAAAAAATACAAAGTTGACATCCTTCGCACATTTACTCCTATACTTTGGGGGCTGGGATTTGGGTATTCTGCCAAGTCAAAAAGACAGGCTCGTGCGTCACTGCCTTTGTCTCTGAATCTTCCTTCATTTCTATTAAGATTCATAGAGAAAGAAAACGCCATGGATTCTTTAAGGAAAGGTGATGAGTTACCAGTCACCGCGCCGCTGATGAACAGCCAAGAGCTCCACCGGAAGCCACCAGCCTCCGCCATGACAAAAAAAGGAGCGTTTGCTTCTGCCGGCTATATGGCTAGTGCAGGTAGAGTGATTTATACTTTCACCTCTCTTTTTCTTTGTTTTGCTTATCTGTTCTTTGCGCTTTGCAAGTCTTAACTCCCTTTTTTCTTTCTGCATAAGATCGATTCGGTTACTAGTTTAACTCAACGAATTAAGTGCTGATCAAAAGAAAAAAAACTCAACGAATTAAGGTTACTAATAGCGAAATTCCGATTATTACTGTCCTTTAGGATTGAGATTTGCTTCGGTGAATTAAATCTTCATTTTCATCTTTTATGCACTCTTTAGTTTGGTTTGAAAATGCTAGTATGGAGTTTTTTCTTTTTTGCATTTTTCAGTGCTGGTTAAATGAAGTTTAATTATCTATTTTCATTTTTTTTAATTTGTGAATTCTATGGAGGAAATTTGTAATAAATATACATTTTCAATCGTAAATTTGTGTTAAACAAATAAAAATTAACTTTTAATTTATCAATCATTCAATTAAATTCATCTAGTTGGCACCAGTACTAATATTAATCTCAAGTTTTATATTTTATTATATACATTTTTAATAAAAAAATGTTATTTATGCTGAGGGTACAAGTTAAAAAAAAGCTCTAAGTAAACAGGGGAGTGTAGTTCTCTTCCTTGGAGATATAGAATAAATATAATCGTGATTAAACAGGCTCTGCCGTAGTGACAGAGTCACACCACTTAACAATAATAGTCCTTTTAAGCAACTGGATATGCACAAGGTCGTCTATTTAACCTCTGCTTTTGTTTCTTGGTCAAGCTTCTATCCATGTCTTGGCTTGCTTTTCTCTGTAAAGGCTATTAGTTAGTTTCCGTTTTTTTTTTTTTTTTTCGTTTTTATAACTTATTCTACTAGTTTTCCTTATGACTTACCTGATTATGCTTTTGTTCTCCAATCTGCAGTTCTCTTGGTCATGTTAAACAAAGCAACCCTTTCTTCTTATAACTTCCCATGCGCAAATGTAATCACACTCTTTCAGGTATATCACTTGCTAAGTTTGATTATTGTAATAGTTGTTCATGCTAGTGATCAGTCAAAACTTATAAAAAAATTCTACATTTTAAAATCCTTAATGAAAATTTCCATGTGGTGACTAGTATCTGGAAACAGGGTTGCCTTGCTACAGTTAGTTGAAGATACCCTTATGAAATTCTCTTATTTTCTGTTCTCAATATATTTTACAAAAACCAACAACATCATCATTGAAGAGGGAAAAAAACCTCTGTGCTACCTTTCTGGTACAAGCATTTTCAAGCAGTCACACACTTCACCTTAACCTCTTTGCTCAAATTCTCTTTCTATGCATTTTCAAGCTGGGAGAAGAGAAACAGAGCTGCAGTTAGCCTAAGAAAATGAAAATTTTAATTGAGAAATATTATGGTACAAGCAGTCACACATATTCACTTTAACACCTAACTGGCACTTTATCAGTTTATCTACTATTTCTGTACTCTCCTACCCTGCTTTTACTTTCTTAGGCATACTGTTGCTCTTTCATTCACTTTCTCGCACTATTTCTCATTGCCCAAAAGCAACACAAGTCACCTTTTTTTTATTCCTACTAAAGTAATGTCAGTGGCTTATCAGTTGTTCTCCACAGTTTCACTTACACCATGGTGAAAAATCTTTTGACTTTTCATAAGATTTTTGTACTGATATTTCATGTACCTAGTTTCTCCATCAAGACCCTTAAAAGTTATCTACCATTTCGAGAATCTTTTAATTCAGTGATGACATTTTTAACAATTCAATCATGTGTAGGTTTTTCGTCGCTTTCCTCTTCTTTTCAATATTCTGTGCACTTTTCTTTTTTTTTTTCTTTTTTTCTTTTTTTCTTTTTTTTCTTTTTTGCATTTTTTTAAACAAAAGATTCACGTTCGTTTCCTAGCTAGCCTTCATTTGTGATCCATCCATATCCAGTCTTTGCTTTGTCTAATCGTATGCATCTATTGGGACTACATGCTGTTTCAAATACTAATAAGTTTCTTGGAATTACAAACAGATTAAGAGAAATTTTCACCTGAATTTTTCCAATTAGGTGAAAACCTTCCTCCATAAACTTATGAGCAAGTTGCATCAGCTTCTGAATTAGTCAAAAGATAAGGCATATGTATCTAATTGTAGATATCATGGGAGCATGACTAAAGAAGTGTCCAGAGTGGATTCAATATCATCTCTCCTAAATTGCCAACCAATCCATCCATTTATTGCGGAGAAGATATAGTTTTAATTGTGATAGCTAGGTTTTGCTTTTCCTTGTATTTTGATTTTTTTTTTTCTTTAGACAGGTCAATGATATAATGTGTGTTTTTTTCATAATATTTAACCATTTATTATTATTTAACTCAGTTTGGCATTTATTTTCTAGTAAAATATATTTCAACTTTCCTTTTTCGCCGCCTGGTCTGCGACAAACAATGTTAAAATTTCAGTGACATTTTTTCATTCGTTGTCTAAATCATCTTAGATGCTGTTCTCTTGTGCATTTCTGTATGCAACAAAACGTTGGGAGATCATATCTTTTACAGGTGGGGAGCCACAGAGCATTACTAGTAACAGGATAACTTTGGTTCCAGTCAAGACACTATTTCGCACCATTCCACTGGCATTAGCATACTTGCTTTACATGGTATGTATTTTAGTGTGTATATGTATTTTTGACATTTTCTTGTTAGAAACTTTAATTGTTGTTCTATATCATGTTTGTTTGTTTGTCATCTGGTGGAAGCTGGTCACCATGGAATCTGTTCGTAGCATAAATGTTCCTATGTACACAACCCTCAGAAGAACTACTGTGGCTTTTACCATGATTGTAGAGTATCTCTTAGTGGGGCAA